ATCTAGCTTTTGTTATAATTTCATTTTTCAGTATGTGTTTAATTGGATTCATTCAAGTGCCTGTAGTACATTTATTATAGAGGTGTTTCGGTTAGCATACATTTTATTTAACTACAATTTTTAAAAGATGCTTATGTTTGAATACGTTTTAACTACAATTTTAAATTTTAAAATTTTAAATACAAGTTTAAAATATTTTCACTGCCATTCCAATAGACTTTTTTTTTTTTTTTTTTTTTATTTATATATTATTTAAGGAAAATTTTTGACAATGACGGCATATAATAGCTATTTCATTTCTCTGATTCAGTAAATTTTTATTTTTTATAAACTTAGTAATATATAGTTTCTCTTGTATGCATAGAGGACACGGGTCGTTTAATGATCTACAAATTCTAGCTTTTCTTATTAACTTCCATTTTACTGTAGGTGTTTTATTTGATTCTTTTAGATGCCAGAAATATTTTGAGAGAGATGTTTGATTTTTATATCTATTTATTCTAAATGAAGTTTGATGTTGGTTGAATCTTTTTTTGAATTCATGGCTAGTGCAACCTATATATATTTTTATGTTATCAGGACTTTCAATCGAAGAGATATTGCATTGGTATACTAATGATTCAGTGCGACATTTATTTTGTAATGGGCAATTTTGAGGGTTTCTACAGTTATAATATATATATATATATATATATATATATATATATATATTAGGAGACAAGGTAGTGTAGTGGATAGCGGCTCGGATTCCAGTCAAATCCATTACATTCATTTACGTACTAATACCCTTGGGAAAAATGTGTTAATTCTCTTCTTCTTCCTAGCAGGACAAACTGGGGTCTTGGAGAAGGACAACTCTGAATTCAAAACCTACCGGCATGTAGTGCACCAGGGTCTCTGTATTCGGCCCTTCAGAAAATGGGGTCGACTCTGCAAAAAGCCTTCAGCACTATGATCAAAATCATATGTGCAGGTGTCGGTTCCTATGAACTGAGCCGCTTGACCCTCATAGGTCGAATACGACAGGAGAGTCCACCACCACCATATGTATATATGCGTGCATGTGTGCCTGTGTGCCTGTGTGCCTGTGTGCCTGTGTGTGTGTGTGTGTGTGTGTGTGTGTGTGTGTGTGTGTGTGTGTGTGTTTCGATAAAAATGAAGTGTTGTCTTTTCTGAACACAAAATGTGTAAAAAAAACTGTCCAAAGTTCCGCATTCCCGATTTTAGCCATTATCAAGGATGATTTTATATCTGCTTTTAACTGAATGTATTGTGTTATATATGTATCCAGAGTTATAGGAATGTTTCATTTTTAAATACGGTCAGCATATTATGGCCGTGTTCATAGTTAATGTTATTGAGTGTTGGCTTTTTCTTTTTTATTATTAAGGCTTCCATTATTTTTACTCCGTTTTTACATGTGGATGAGGTTTTTTTACGCTCGTATTTTCTACTAGTATGTTTCGGATGGAGTCTGGCAGGTTTTTGCGTGTGTTTAAATGAGTCCCAATGGAGCTATGGTCGCGTAGGTGTAACGTAAGTCGTCTATAAAAGTCGTCTATACACGTCAATTATCAGCAAGATAAATTTTCACTTAGAAATATCATAAAGAAATACACTGCCCCAGTCGACACGAACAAGAAAATTAAATTATCTATTACAAAAAAAAAATTATAAAGCTAACCTTATACCCCAAAATAACAAGACACCTGCAAAACCAAAACTAAAAAAGAACCAACATTGTTTGCGAGTTCAAATGCCCCTTAAGGAAATGTGTTCCTAATGAAACCAAACCTCATAAATAATTACATCTGTCACACTACCTTACGTTACACAAACACATACACACAAATTATATATATATATATATATATATATATATATATATATATATATATGAAAAATATAGTTTTAAGACAAGTTATATTTATGGGATAAAGCGCTCAATATGAGAGATAGAGCGTATGTATCTATATGGTGGCCTGATGATTGCGTTTAACATGAAACAATGTATCGCCTCTAAGTGTTGACTTCAATGTTCACTTATATATATATATATATATATATATATATATATATATATATGCGGGGGAAAGTTAAAAATTATAGGGCTTTTGTCTAAAAATATTTTATAGCGAAAATCCAAGTACTTTTTGACTTACCCTCGTATACATACACACACACATGCACACACACAGACATATATATATATACATATATGAATATATATATATATATATATATATATACATACACACACATATATATATATATATATGACGTCACACATTATGAAATGGTCCGACAATTATTTTTAAGACATTTTATATGTTTATACATTCTTTTATAGATACAAATATTTTTATAAACAGAGCATTTACTTAAATATTTGTATCTATAAAAAGAATGTATAAACATAAAATGTCTTAATATATATATATATATATATATATATATATATATATATATATATATAAGGTGGGGAGACAAAGTTTTCACCTAGAGTTATACTTATTTTCTCATGAAGCAGTTAAACTAATTTTATGAAACTTGACCCATTTTTTTCTCCTAACCTTTCATAATAACTTCACACATTTTTTTCAGATAATTGGCAAAAGACGAGTGTTGAGGAAAGCAAACGTCAAAGTGTGTGTGATATGATAAACTTACATGTTCATCCGCAGAAGATTCCAAGCATGGTTGGAATAACACTATGGCGGGTTTTTCATGCGAAGAAGAGAATGGCTCTGAGGGAAATTATTCAGAGAAAGCTTGGAAGTGGCGGAATCAGCAAAAGCCGCAATAATGATTTCATTAACACTCTCAAATCCCAAATCTCAAAATCTATTAGCAATTAGAACTTTAGGTGGATGCTTAGACGCTTAGAACAGCAGTGAAAGGTGAAATAAAACTAAAATCTCATACAAGAACCCCAAGACATTTGCCCACACGACCCATGAAGGCCACTGTGAAAGTTTTCTCAGACGATAAAGATCTTTACTCTTGACGCTGTTCTGAATCAAAGGAATGACAAATACATTGCACACTTAAAAGCTTATGTCAAGGGCATTTTTAGAACGAAGCATCCAACTTCAGTTATTGTCTTTGGGGTTTGTGTCCTGCGATGGGAAAAATGCCTATCAAATTTTACAAACCCACGGAAAAAGTTAATGCTGTTGCCTCTTACAAGAGTCTGAGATACAATACATTACCATGGCTCAAAACGAACTACCCGGATGCAAACTATGTATGGACTCATGATGGGGTTCCTGCCCATACAGTCAAATGAAGTACAGAAATTCTACAATTTTGCCGATTTTTGCCCATCACACTTCTGGTCTTCTTCCAGCCCAAATCTCAATGCTCTAAATTATGCTGTTTGGAGTGTTTTAGAACATGCTACTAATACAATCTCTCATCCAAATGTTAACTCTCTTATGGATACCATCGGAGAAGTGTGGGACAAGATGTCCTCTGGTTTTTTAGAGAAGAGTTGTAGAATTTTCAGTGGGCGTGTGGAGACAGCAATTGAAAAACTATCAGGACATATCTAATAAAATGTTTCTTTCGTTTTGTATATTTGTATGTTGAGACCATTCGTATTTACACTATTTACACTATTCATTACAACGTTTCGACCCTTGTACGTTCCGGCTTTCTTCAGATGGTTGGAATGTCGAACTGAACCCTTTATTTCGCTCACTGGTGTAGACTGTTCTAGTTCCACGTGCCATGTTTAATGAATGTCAGTTATCTCCTGTTAATTCCACTCCCAAGTTCTCCACTGACTTAACCGGGTATTGAACTCACACTCTTTGGGTCCTGTCACTGGATCTAACTAACGCCTTTATCCACTGTGCCATGTGTCCTTGAGGTTCCAACAACAAAGATAAAGACAATAGTCAGAATGTAAATAGTGTAATACTAGCAGCATGGCCCGGCGTTGCCCGTGCTTGATTCAAAAATCGTACGACTCATACAGCAATCACTATCACTTGACGTAAAATATTTTTGCTCTTCCTTGCCTTTAAAAGAGTGCCCTTTGCCGTGCTGATGTTACTACATGCCTTACTTCTTGCCTATCTCACACTGCGAATTTTATCTAAGCTCTATACTAAACATTAAATCTGTTACGAAAAAAGAACTAAATAAAATGAACACAAAACGATCAGCTTTAAAAAAGGACTCGTAACTGGAAAAACCGAATGAAAAAAGAATGTTAACAACAAATACTTTTTCACACCCAACCTAGTTCTGCGGAATCAGAATCAACGTTGAGTTTAAGCAAGCGAATGAGCCAATTGGAGTAAAGTGCCATGCAGATTTAAATTTTCCCCACTTGTGACGAATGCAGCTATCTATTTTTTTGCATGTTAGGATGCTAGTTACGATTCGTGTCAGTCAGCTGTTGGCTCTCACGCTGGCCAATTGAATCTTCCTGCCTATTCGTGGCAGCCATCTATAGGCTCTCACTCTGGCCAGTAGAAAATGGCCGCAAACTACATGAAAACTGCCGTAGAAGCATGAAAATATCGATTATTTCCACTATCGATGGGGGTTGGGAAATGCAATGTCGGACTTGGCCTCTCCGCTAACTTGGAGCATGTGCATGTAAATTTTGGTGCAAATCCGTCGAAAATTGCGGCCGTGCATTCGTTACACACACACACACACACACACACACACACATCGTGCCTTTTATAGATAGAGATAAATAATAGCCAGTAAATCAAATACGAGACGGAAGACTGTGTAGTGAGTTCTTTTTCTTTTTCTTCTTCTTCTTCTGTCTGTCTGTCTGTGTCAATTCACACGAGGTTGATTTTATGATTGATGAGAAGTATCAAGCACTTTTTAAACTAATTGGCCGAGACTTTAAACTGAGCTTAACCAAAACTGTTTTCACTGCCTTGTGGCTTCGGCGTCATTAGTCAAATTTTAAATAATCTAATCCCACTAAATTTCTCAGATAAGGAGCCATTATTATTTACATTCTTTAGTTCATTCCTCTCGTTCCCCCATAGAATATTCGGTTCCTTTTGACGCCGAATCCGAACGAAAAGAGTCCAGGGGCCATATTCATACGAACGAGCCAATGGTAGGATTTGGGATTCAGAAGCCGTCCCCAGCCTCATGAATACACACTTTTAGGATACTGCGATCCGCTTTTAAATTCAGTTAAATTAAAGAGCTTCACTTTAGTTAAAATTCATTTGTCTGCATGCTGGTATTCTTTGGGAAGCTGAACGTTTGAAATTCTCTCACGTGACATCATGTGTAACGGCTATTGGGAACGAGGCCGAACAAAAAAGAATGCAATTTATTTATTTATTTATTTATTATTTTATTATAATACTAATAAAACACATTAATTATATCACATGCACTTCAATATAACTTCTGTGGTGAATAATATTTTATTTAATGTGCGCTGTTTATCCTATAATAATTGCTTCAAGAGTTTTGAGTCTTTCCTTGCATTGAGTGTTGTAGAGCAGGAGTCGGCAACCTTTTGCTATAAGCCGACTCAGGTTTTTAAAATCAGTCAGTGTACCAACAGTATACGTATTTTAATAAAAGTCAAGGTCAATATACTTGTTCTACAATATATTTTATATAGTAATATATAGTAGATATACTTTAGTATATATTAAAATTGAAACAGCTAAATATCTTCTTTGACTTGTAGTAGTTATTGGTTCGGACTTTATGACGTCATTTGCAGCTGCGTGTCATTGGAAATTACTTGGCGTGCTTCGTGGGTCGGAGGTTGCCGACACCCAGGTCAACAGCAGACGGAAGTTTAACATAGAAATAGGAAGGCGCATATCATTTATTTATTCTAGGATTACACAAGAGAGACCACAAAAAATTTACAAGTGAGTAGTTTTTCGCAATTTACGCTTATAGTGTAAATTACTTTCATGAACCAGCCCCCAAATATAGTCTCCCATCATGTTTTTGTTATACCAGGGGTCAGCAACCTTTTGCTAACTATGTGCCGACTTGGGGTTTTAAAATCATTCAGTGTGCCAACAGCATACGTATTTTTATACAAGTCAAAGTCAATATACCTGTTCTACAATATATTTTATATAGTAATATATACAATAATATGTAGACCACATTAACATAAATAAACCGTTTTTATTATGAAAGAGAGTCCAACGAGTTAACAGTTTTGAAAACAGCTAAATATCTTCTTTGCGTTGTAGTAGCTATTGGTTCGGACTTCGTGACGTCATTAACGGCTGCGTGCCATTGGAAACTGATTGCCGTGCCGCGTGTGGCATTGTCCACGCCCGATTAGAGACGTCACGAAGGAAGGAGGAAAGATACCGACCAGAGTCTCATTGGCCGAGGGTGGTCACGTGATACATGAGGGAGGAGGAGAGACACCCGACCAGGACCCCATTGGCCGAGAGCGGTCACATGATGTGCGAGGGAGGAGGAAAGATGCCCGACCAGGACCCCATTGGTCGAGAGCGGTCACCTGACATACGAAGGACCAGAGGAAGCGGGTATACGCCTCCCCCCAGAGGCACAGTAAGGAAGTAGGAGTGAAAGTAAGTTACCGATAATGGAAAATCCATAATCAGAAAGAATACGTCTTTAGAATTATCAAGAAAACCCTGGCGCCGACAGACCCACCCCAGTTTTTGACTGCCTCAATAAAAGCAGGACCCCAATCGACAGAAATCAGTTGCATTTGCGCTGCGGATGAAGTTGGAGTTGCAGCGCGGACGGCGGGCCCTGTTCATTAGTCCCCTTTGCGGCAAGAGAAGCCGAAGTGAAGCAGCCGTTTGGCCTAAGTGGAGAAGTTGGAACCAAACCAAGCCTAAGAAGAGAAATCCGTCCAACCCAAGTCGAAGTGAAGAAATTCGCCCAACCCAAGCCGAAGTGAATAAGCTCGTCCAACCGAAGTCGAAGAGAAGAAGTTAATTCGCGCACTGACGGCGAGGGAAATCAGCCGTGAACGACAGGTAGAGATCAGCGCCCAGTGTTGAAACCAAACCACACCCCGAAAGGCAAATTTCTAGAGAGCAGGCAACACGAAACCTTAAAGTTATATGGTAGAAGCTTGGTGCCACGGTCCACAGAACGGGTCGGGAGGTAGGAATAATCTTGTGTAACGAACATTTAGATATAAAAAGTTGTTACCTTTTTTCTCCAATAATTTTTGACCTTGTGAGTTTTTCTTTTTCTTGTGTGTTATCACCCCCGTTGGACTCAGCTTGCATACGGCCCCAATCCCTGTTTGATCCCGTCTGTCTAAGATCTAATCACAACGTGGGTAGGCAGACCGGAGATCAGTACAGTTACCCTAGTAACCAGGCGTTGGAAGCGAGTTGGGAACGACGAGGCTGGTATTCATCTAGCCAAAAGGTTAGAACGTCACACTTGGAGCAGCGAGGAGCGAACAGCTGACGCCGCGGCAAAGACGTCACAACTGGTGCCGTGACCATAGGATCAGAACCCTGGACCACGTCAGGTCACAGTTGGCGTCGCGAACGGGATCGAACGACACAGTCGACGCTGCGACCAGGGGGGACGACGTCACAAACCGACTTTCACTTTGCCGCGTAAAAATATACTTGTGTCTTCATTCGTAAAAAAACCAACACCCCCTTAATAAAAACTTTGAATTCTCGTTCCCCCGCCAACTTAAAAATGCATAATTTTTCTTATAAATAGAGTAAATCAATTTTTTCAAAGGTTATCTGCATTGCTTGAAAATGAAACTCAACTTTAAATTTTAAGTTTAATTTATTGGTCTTGGTTTCGAAACATGGTAATTTCTGTGTCACGATGAATACACATTTTTAAAAATAATTATAATATTATGCTCTACTGTGTATCGAGCACTGTTTTTAAAAAATGAATGCTAAAGAACTCTGGATTATAAATCTGATTGTTCTTTCTTTCTTCATATATATATATATATATATATATATATATGAAGAAAAATTTATAATACCTATAAAAGAATAAAGAAAATAGCGCAATGACTACTTAGAAACATAGACATGTTTAATTTGATTTTTGACCTCTTCTCTGAGACAGAAAATGAGAAAGATGGAGACATTGTTGCTTTAAATAGATGATTCTAACAATAATAATTTGACAGAAGAAAAGAATTTGGGATTTGTATAGTCATAATATTTTTCATCGATTATATAAACTTCTGAAAGTTTGCAGACTAAAATAATCGTTTGTCGATTATTAGGCAGAAAAAATAAAATGTTTAAGTAATGCTGAAAAGGAAGCAAAAAGAAATGCGATGTCAAAAGAGAGAAAAAACAAAAACAAAACTGAACTAGAATGAGTAGGATTGGTAGAGAATGCAAATGTATAAAGCAATGTTTAAAAAAAATCGTGGACTTTCTGGTTTCCGAATTGATTAGTTTGTTGTCAGCCATTTTTTTTTTCAGTTTTAAAAGGTTATGAGAATTTAACGAACGGCAAAATCAAGAAAGAAGAAAAAAATAAGCAAACGACTTGTTAATTACAATTAATTATTCCGAACAAATATTTGATTTGAAGATAAAATATTTTAAGAGTCTTTATTTTTTCAAAAATCAAGCGCCAACTATTTCAATTAAACTTCAAAAAACAATTTCATTATATTTTTTTCTATGAAATTTGGAGTATTGCACCGACAAACCTTTGTTTTTCTCCAATTATACATCGCTTTCCCTCTTCTCTTCTCTTCTTCACAAGGAATGCATATCTCTTATTTCTCACTCTCTCTCTCTGTCTTTGTCTCTCTCTCTCTCCTCTTCTTAAATGGACCCTTTTGCTTTTCATCCTTACAGATCAATCTTAGCTTCTTTCAAAGTATAAAAAAATATTTGATCGATTTATGTTATAAAAAAACCTTTGATGATTTTCAAAATTTAACTACAGACTTTATCACTTAAAAATCGTTATTTTTAGTGGATACCTGTATCCACTGTAGACGCTCTGTTTATTTGGTAAACTGCATATTTTCGTCTACCCGCCTGAATGTTTTAAGACTTTTATGAAAGTGCTGTAACCTGAGAAAGGGTTACTGAATAAGGAATAACCAAAACGGAGGTTGGAAATGAAATGCTAATCTTTATAACATCAACAAAATACAATACTCGCCAGCGGCGTGAAGTAGGTAAACCACTGCCAGTGGTGGATTACTTAGACACCATACTACTCCCACTTACAATAGTGTCCAACGTATTTATGAGGATTGGGACATACTCCTTAGTGTTCATAGGTACGGAATATAACGTAAAGGAAAAAATTATTAAAGAAAATTTTTCTTTCTCCGGTAGTATTCGAGACTGCGTCCCCCTGGACATAGGGATCTGCCTTTAGACCCGGCACGCTCCAACTAACTGACCCACGGAGAACCAGTCGGCCCCACAAAGCTGAAATTGTTTCTTTAAGCGAAACTTCTGTCGTCATAGATCTCCCGAAATTTTTTCATGTCTGCACAGATTCGTATCCAAACAAAGCAATTTCTCTAAAGAAAGTAATGGTTAATAAAAATTCATTACTTTCCTTAAAAAATTTTTTACTAAAGACCATGTGAATATTTTTCCAAATCTTTATGACCATTATATAGCAGTCAATCTATCACAGTACCACATTCAAAATCAAAATCTTGCGGTGAATTTCACGAATTCAGAGTACCTTAGAGGAAAGCTCGTCAGAAAAAAATATCATGAAAATATTTATAGAAAAGGCACAGGGAATCTACGTTACGGCAGTGGAAAATTGAATGAAGCCTGAATGCTGGGTCACGGCCGATTACATCGTATATTCTTCATTGAATTTTGTCAAGAATCTATAGCTATATAGCAGAAATACCAGAGAATATGTGGCAACAGGTACGAACAAATGTAAAGTTGTAAAGGTGTAAAATAGATTCTGTCAAAATTCACTAGGACAAAGTAAACCAATTTCCGTGCACCAGATCGATCAAACAATCGACTCGATATAATCGCTTCATTTTTATGTCAATAGAAAACGTCATATCGAGAAGGTGCAATTACGAGTTATTATCTGGGCGGTTAGCATAAGCCATGCCGATGGGTGGTAAAAAAAGTTTCTCTAAAAGAAGCAGTTTCAGTTAAGTGACGTTAAAATTAACAAGCCATTTCTTGCTCCATTTAACAAAAGATTGAAGGCCATTTTTTTATATCAATTGCTAATTTGAGCATTGCGAACGTATGAGACTTGTCATTAAGGCAGGAGTAATTGGTTGCTTTATCGGCATCTATACCGAGTCGTGAACGATGACATCGGGCAGGTTTTTGATGAAAATTAAGAGCAAAATCGTCTCAAGGCTAGAGAACTGGGTGATACCAGCATTACTGTAAAATATATAGAAGAGTGGCCTTTCAAGATAAATTTCATTCCGTGAATTGATAAGATGGGATCAAATCAAAAATTCTTTTGCTTCTAAATTGATTCTGTTGGATATTTAATTTAAAACACTCGGGATTTCCGTTCGGAAGATGCACCTCAATTTACTGCCTAAGCCGTTACTGCAATCCCCACGGAAAGGAAATAGTGAAGGACAGAACAGATACAAATAGGTATGGTAAAGAGTTATAAGTTACTTAGAACAACATTAGAGAAGGCGTGGAGAGCCTTGATCATATAAAGTGTTTATATGAATGAACAACTTAACAGGTACAAAAAGGCATTGTAAATGGTCAAAAGTTAGAGCAACAAAATTGAGGAAGTTGTGGAGAGCCTTGATCACCTACTTACTGACTTTGTGTGAATCGATGTTAGAACAGGCAGAAAGATGTATAGTAAAGGGTCATAAGTTACTTGGAGCAACAAAAGTGAGGAAATTGTGGAGAGCCATGATTACCTCCTTAATGAGTTTATACGAATGAAGGACAGAACAAGTACAAATAGGTCAGGTACTGAGTCAAAATTTACTTGAAACAACAAAAGACAGGAAAGAACACATAAACGATATGACATTTTGCTCGCCAAATCCAGGATTGAACGCGCATCTTAGAAGAATTGAAATGAATATACACACAAGAAACGAGTGTCTAAAATGTCCAAAGTAAACAAGAAAGAATCTTTAAGAAAAATCTTTACTTTTGAAAAAATTGTGCTATTTATCGTCTGCTTCTTTTCATTTAGACGCGATCTTTTTGTATTTCGTTAAAAGTCCCTGTATGTGTGTGTGTATGCGCGTCTGTGTGATTTACTTTTTAGTCACACACCAATGCCTGCAAGTATTTCCAGTGCTTTGTTACTGTTTTTGTCCAGCTGAGATTCAACAGCACTACTTTCATTGAAAGAAGAAAGACGTATTTTCTCCTTTGAAAAATGGCGTAAAACCGGCAGCCATGTTAACGGCGTGATCCAACGACGCGTTGCTGTGGTTTCTTTTATACGACCAACCGGCAAGGAAACATGAAAACTCTGCCATTTAAGTTCTTTCATGTTATTCTCTTGATGAATCTCACTTGAACTTTACCAATCTTTTCTTCGTCTGTCTTTTTTCTTCACTTTCTTTTTAAACTTGCTTTTAAACCAATGATTGCCAACGTGGGGCGCATACCCCACCTGAGGGGGGTATGGTAATATTTTGGTGGGGCATGAGTAGATGTGCACCCTTCGGCTTACTATACTAACAGAACAAGGGGGCAATACGAGAGTGAGTTATTAACTGTTATTAACATTAATTTGTATTAGCATTTCCATCTTTATACTTAGCTGAATGTGGATTTAGTGCTGTAAATGATTTGTTATTGAAGAAAAGAAATCGACTGGATATCCACTAAACGAGGACACTTGAGACTTAAGCTGACTAAATCGGTGCCTAATGTAAAATGTATCTGTGACAGGCATGACGCACAAAGATCTCACTAACAGTCATTTTGTGATGAGCTTAAATTTTATTTTTCATTATTATTTCATGATTAAAATGGTCAAAGTATATTACAGAATAAACTTTCATTCAAATATTTTATATTTCTGCCTTTCACTTCTCTATTATATATTTTGAAACTATATATATTTAACTGTCTTTTTGTTTTTTTAATTTTTCTCTCTTTCATGGACGCCATTGTCTTTGGAGGTTTGTTTAGAGACCAAATTAACGGCCTAAGCTTCCTTCACGTGAATTGCAGTAAAATGTTGAATATGTAAGAATTAAATATTACAAGGGGGCACTAGACTTTTAGAAATACCAAAGTGGGTCATGGCCCAAAATCTGTTAGGAACTACTGCTTTAACTCCAGTTGTGTTGCTATGTTCTGTATTCCCAACTTAAATCAAAGAATGAAACCTTGCTGTCATATCCGTTGGGGCATGGTAATATTTTGGTGGGGTATACGTAGAATGTGCACCATTCGGCTTACTATAACAACGTGAGCTCAAATTTCATTCTGCATTATTATTTCATGATTAAAATGATCAAAGTATATTAGAGAATAAACTTTCATTCAAATATTTTATATTTCTGCCTTTCACTTCTCTATTATATATTTTGAAACTATTTATATTTAACTGTCTTTGTTTTGTTTTTTGTTTTTTTATTTTTATTTTTTTTTAATATTTCTCTTTCATTCACGCCATGATCTTTGGAGGTGCGTTTAGAGACCAAGTTAATGTCCTTTTCAACTTCCTTTACGTGAATTGCAGTAAAATTTTGAATATGTAAGAATTAAATATTACAGGTGATAGGGTACTAGACTTTTAGAAATACCAAAGTGAGGCATGGCTCAAAATCTGTTAGGAACCACAATTTTAAACAATTTTTGATTTACTTTGTTTCTTTTCTTCTTTTTTTTCTCTTTTGGCGGAAAATATTTATTCATTCATTTCCTGCTTCACTATTTGCAAATCATTTTCACTTTGCCATATCTACGATGCCTTCTTCATCCCCAAATACATCAGAATATCCATCTTTGAAATGGTTTTAATAAGTAGACAATAGCTGTTTACAGATATTTACTTATACAGAAAGTGTAATCAACGAACCGCGTTCAAATACCGTCTTAGTCTGTTATGTTCAGTTTCTTGGGAAATCTATAAATCCATATCTTCTAACCCCGGTTCCAGATTAAATTCCAAGGTAGACTGTTCTGTCTAGCCTTGGGTGACAGTTTGTTTACTGATTGTGCAATTGTCAAGTGGAAACCACTCCACTAACTTTCCCAAGAAGTTATGGCAATTCAAAGATAATAAAGACAGTAGGGATCTGTGAAGGACCATGATCTCTAATGTAAGGAAAGTACGTGGGGTATTAAAAAGTATTATCTGTAGTTGTTTTTGTTATGTCATTTCAGTGGCTCTCTCATCCAATCATATTTAACAATATTTCGATGAACTAGAACGGAAAAATACCTTTAAAATATCTCAGAAACCGAAAAGGAAGCAGATTTGTTACCATGGCGATGAAACAATGATATTAATTTAGGTCTGAGATCGAAATTGTCCTCAATTCAGGTATTTTTTAATTATTTCACCCCAAGCAAGGCGATAATGCCACTATGACGCTAGGGTTAGTTGGAGTGAAAAAGAATAAAAAGACTTAAAAAGGAACCGGAAACCAACTCCTAAACAGAAAACAAGGGATACACCTCTACTCCTGTTCAAAAGATGCGGAGATGGGTGTAAGCCGGAAGATAGGCGAACCTATCTACTCCTATTCGATCCTCACTGGGTGCCCTATACTTTCGGCCTTGCGCCACAACTAACCCACGTTTAAAAAAACAAAAACAGCATTGGGTTCTTCTATGTAGTGTAATCGTTACCAAGTTTGTCTCGTTAGA